CCGAATTTCAGATCTCTAGAGCAATCAGAAGTGGGCTAATTTTCGTTGTCAATGTTAACAACAAACAAACAAACAAACAAATGCGAAGCTAAGCTAAGAAAAACGTGTTAAAAACGTGTTAAAAAGGGTGTTTTTTTAATTATATGTTTTTTGGGGTGTAGATAAAGAATCTGAAATCCGTTTTTGGCGGTCGGCATCGGAAAACCGATTTTTTCCCCGAGGCTCAAATTCGTCGAAAAAAAATCTGGCAAAAATCGGCAAAATCGGCGAAAAAAACTAACCTAACCTGACCGTGGTTGCAATGTCGTGGTTGCCTGCCATTTCGTGGTTGCAAGAGTATATGGATCACCGAGGCTAAGTTAAAAACGCTATAAATCCACGGATATTGGGGCCAAGATATTTCACTTGCATTTTATCTTAGAAAATATATAAAAATCGGCATATATAAAAATCGGTTTTTCGATGCCGACCGCCAAAAACGGATTTCAGATTCTTTATCTACACCCCAAAAAAACATATAATTAAACTAAAAAACACCCTTTTTTGGATGCACTTAATCTAAAGTAATACCTGTTTTTTTTTTTCAAAACGGAATCCGAGTTCATGCAAAAACATTTCAAAACTTTTGTGCACTTTCACTTTGATGCATGCGTTCACTTCTTACATTATTTTCACGCCTGGATCTATGGACATGACTTCTTACTTGTATTCCAGTTCCGCGGATTTACCGTGTGCGGCCGGTGTTGTCTTGACATCGTGAGAGTGGTTGACCTGAGTTTCCGTGCTTTTCCGCTTGATTCTCTCCTGCCATTTCTTGCAAAAATTCGCTCTCTCTAAAGGTGTAGCATCCTTCTTAACAAAGGCTGAATTAAACTCTGGGAAGTCACTTAGTTTTATCGCACCTTTAAGCACATGACCGACCAGGGGCCATACTTTCAAAACTCGCTAAGTGAACGTAAGTACTTACGCTCTATTTTCTTGTCTGTGATTGGTGGATTTTGCTTGAAAGGCCGTCAATGATTGGCTGATGAACTTACGATCTCTTAACTTTTTTTGAAAGTATAGGCCCTGGGCTGTATCCTGCACAGTCACCAGCAGCAGTCTACAGTTGGTAGCGTCTTTCGATCGCAGCCTCTTGCATGCCGTTAAATCTCTCGACCACGAGAGCAGACCGGTTAAACCGGATAAGCAAAATAATGATATATTTTATATTAATATTTTAACAATAATATATTAGTATTTTAATATTAATATATTAATATTTTATTAATATATTCGTGAACCGGATAAGTGAAATAAATAAAATGGAAAAAGAAAAATGCTGAAATTGGGACGCCTGTCGGAGACCACCACTGCCGTGCATCGAATGGACTTGATGTCTTCCCTCAATAACGTAGCCTATAACACTTCTTGACTATAACATTATCAGCCGCAAGCCACCAGACAGATCACATCCATTGAATTAGATCAATCAGCCAACAGGAAAATAGCCTTACGTAGAATGGCCCAGCATCGTCTACCAATACGCGAAAAAATTTTACACCACTGGGACGGAGCGCGTCGGAGCCGTCCGTATCTGTACCGTGTGTCGAATCAGCTTACGGTCTAACGGTCACTGTCGTACGACGTTAAATTTTGGAACAGAACTATGCTATCTGAAACCCAACCCATGATGCTGTGAGCTGAAAGTTCCGTAATATAGCGAAGCTGCGGAAGTCGCTCGCCGAAGGACGATAGATTTTGGAACAGAACTATGCTTTCTGAAACCTAACCCCCGAATGTTGTGAGCTAAAAGTGACAGTCTGGTGGTGCACGGCAGGATGCATGCAGTTCCACTGGCGAGCTGGGCTGTTTGGTAGCAGTCCGTTGTCAGCTACTCACAGTTCGAGCTGAAGTCATGGTATGAAGTGATGATTCGATGGTGGAGTCAGGTGGATATCCATTACTCACTGGGCTATTCGCTTCAGAATATGGTGGCGTAAAGCTCCTGATATTTAAAGCAAGATGATGTCTTGGGTTGGTTACCGACGGATGGCTTAATCCAGGGCTGCTGGTGGTCATCTGGAAATATGCTAGGCGTTCCTGTCAGGGTTGATTGGTGCACGGCTGCTTTCCCACCAGTCACATCGGTCAGTGCTTTTTTGTGTCCCCATAGCCTTTCGATTTAATTTGCCACGGGAATGGAAACCTGCCGTAAATATCTATTAACTCATAAAAGAAACTGTGCACCCCGTGCCGTACATCTTTTAATATAATTTTTTCGTACAAAACTAGAGCTAGCAATAAACAATGGCACAGGTCTCAACAACAATACAGATAGAGAGCGAGAAATTTGACCGATTAGACGGATACCGATTAGCTGTCGTCAGTCTTGCCTAACCCAAAGGTATCGTCCGTCCGTTTTTCCAGGTTTGTCAAACCTCAAACTCCACCCACCCGTTATGCAAGCCGTCAACTTTCCACACGTCTTCCATGTGAAACTTTGGCATGGCATATACAGAGCTGGGCAGCGCTACTTTGAAATGTAGCGCCGCTACCGCTACCGCTACATGCTCTAAATGTAGCGGGCGCTACCGCTACCGCTACATCCACTAGATTGTAACGGGCGCTACCGCTACCGCTACAGTAAAATGTAGCGCGCTACATTAGCCGCTACAATGGCCAAAATTATTAAAAATCTCTTAATATTTATCGTTTTGCTATTGGGATTTACTCATTAACATTTAATGATAATAAAACATTTTTAAAACATATCAATGCAACTTTATTGCAATTAACCTAACCGAACTAGTATGGGTTAACCCAGGGTTAGATACAGTAAATAAAAGTTACAGTTATTTTTATGTTTTACCTTCCCTACATGGATGTGAACTTTAATCTACCAATCTAAAAAATTAGTCTTTTTGTGTATATATGTGGATTATTTTTGAGATTGGTAGATTAAAGTAGACATCCATGTAGGGAAGGTGAAATATAAAAATAACTGTGTAAAAATAACTGTAAGCAAACTGAAAGATGAAAAAAACCTGTAAGTGGTAACCGGTAACAACTTAACAGGTAACAACTAAAATGTTGACACTAGTAACAGGCTGAGGTTGACAACATTACACCGAAATCATTCGTACAGTTTTATTCTGTAATTTATAATATGTATGTGTCATGCTGGTTTTAAAATAATATTTAATACTATTAAGGAGACCGGCTACCCTAAAAATCGAAAATGTTGGCTTTACCGTTTTCTTGACTCATTTTGTAGCTGCTGAAAAAAGCGGGAAAACCTCGTATCGATACTTAAATATGTAGCGGGCGCTACCGCTACCGCTACATTGCCTTAAATGTAGAGCCGCTACCGCTACCGCTACTGAAAATGTAGCGGCCGCTACATGTAGCGCGCTACTGCCCACCTCTGGGCATATATAATAGACTGACGATAAGTTTGGCTATGTGGACGGGGCTTACTTAAGACTGATGGCGTAAGTTGAACGCACACTATATATTCTGACTACCAGTCAAGCACACTACTGAGCATAGAGATCGCAAATTGCATGTTTCATAACATTAGAGCAGAACTGCTGTATAAATCGTGAATTGTACAAGCATCTACACAAAATGTGAACTCACCCTAATTGCACAGAACATTCGAGTGTACTGTAGCAAAGTTATCGAATCTTGTTTTTATTTAGCATAAACGATGGTTTGATGTCAGGGCTTGATATGCTACTAGTTAGGTAAACTATCTTTTCCGTTATACTTCGTGCTCAGCAATAGTTTATGTAATTTGATCTTAATTTACTACTTCCAAGATGTCTACTTTTTCATATTCAAGGCAAATAAGAGATTCGATATAGTTGTTTAATTAATATAATTATTGTCATGTAACAGTATAAGTAAACCTGAAAGTAGACATTCTTTCTAAAATTTTGAAGCTGTAGATAAAAGGACCGCCAAATCTAGCAATTGCAGTTATCATTACGTATACCCTCCAGAAAAACTTCCACATTTACTAACGGATCTTTCTGAAACTTTACACATATATGTAAAAACAAAAGATAAGAACATTTTGTTCGTATGATTTCTTCGGAAAATTAATAGAAAACGTGAAATTCATAGAAAACGGACAAAAAAGGGGGTACTGTAGAAATCAATCTCCTAGGAGTTTTCAAGCTACAACATTGGCTCGCATATCATTCGATGCGTAAAAACCATACCAATCGAGTAACGAAGCCCGATTTTTTATTTTTGCCTTAGTTTTTTTACACGCATTTTTCCGTTTTCTTCTCATTTTCTTCAAATTTTCCCCCCTCCCCCCATTATGAATCTAAACTATGCACAAATCTAAAAAAGGGCTTCGTTACTCGATAGGTATGGTCTTTACAAATCGAATGGTATATGTCTCATCGCTGTAGCTTCAAAACTCTAGGAGGAGATAGGTTTGCCGTGACAATAAGTGTGAATGTTGAGGAGAGCGCGACAAAGTCCCGCGCGCACCACAATATGCGCTCAATGTAGCATAGATACCAAACTAAACGTTTCTGGAGCTTGCTTCCACTCAAGGATGGTGGGAGCGATTACATGCTCACCTCCCCTTACAACGCCCGAAGGCACACTGAGCTATACCTCATAAAAACACTGTATTTGTAGTGCTGGGCAGCGAATTAGCTCCTATGTAATTACTGAAAGAACTCCCCCCCCGTCCCCCTTTCACGAAGTGTCGTGAACGTATAAATCAACGTACAGAGATGGTAATGGTACCGTTGGATAGGGCAGAATGTCAGCTTTAAGATGAGGCTAAACAGGTAACTGCAGCACAACTCAAGTAGACACTATTTAAAGAGCTCAGCAGCTAATTAGTTCCTATCTAATTACTTAAAGAACTCCCCCACCCGCCCCCTTTCATGAAATGTCGTGAAAGCATAAATCAACGTAAAGAGATGGCATTGGTACCGTTGGATAGGGCATAACGTCAGCTTTAAGATGAGACTAAAAACCGAAAAAGCCAAATCCGAAAATTTTAGGGTATACCGCCCCCTTAATAATTCAAAGTTTGGCGTATTTCAAGGAAGATTTGTATCTTTGCACCATGTATGACTGCAGTAGCGAGATGAAGGTTGATTAGGAATTAGACATAATGCAGTAATTCATTTCCTAGTCTATAAGTGCATGTCAAGTTGCAGGCTTCTTGAGTGTCTATCCATAGGTTCTCAGTTCACCGTTTTGTCAACCGCCGGGTGAAATGGACGAAGACTTGATTGATTTTATTTCAAATGAAGGTTACAGATATTGAATTGCCTTAGGGCTGTTCGACAACCTGCCTCAAAATTTCAAAAATCGAATCAGCGATTTTGAGAGCGAGTGCTTCGTCCATCAGTTGCGTATTATAATGCAAGTTATGCAGGAGTTGTCTGTTGAAAGTGTGAATAGAGCTTACCCACTCATATCCAATTTCCTGCACCGCAGACATCCAGTCGTAGTAAATTAAATCGACATTCTGTCCAAAGTTACTTAAAATCTTTGTAACGTCTCTCACGTTTGTGGTTACGTACGGAGCAACTCTCGGAAGAGGATAGTCGATGCCCTGAGTGGCAATGAACACAAGTGGGTTTTTTCCGGTCAGCTTATTTATCACTTCAAGTTCCATGCTGTTCATTCGTCTCTGTTGGTCCTTAAATTTGGCGTGGTACTGCTTAGCATGGCTCCAGAAGTTTGCGACAATATCCTTAGATACATCAGAGGTGACATCCATTATGCCGTAGCCGTTACCATACGCGTTTTCAGCATCGTTAAAGTAGCGTCGCTGGTCGATACAGTGAAGTCCCCCAATGGTGAATTCATCTTGTAGACAGTTTGCATCCACCAGAGCTTGGACGATGCTAGCCTCGATCACCGAGCTGAATCCTGTGTGAACTGTAATGCCTTCTTTCTTGCAACGGTTAATAAAGTTTACCGTACTTCTACTGTCAAGAATGCGAGGAATGCACACCATTTTTGGTGGCCTTTTCGAAGGCTGCGGATACGCTTTGCCAAGCAAGGCCTCGGGAAACGACCTCATCAGAGACTCTACCCGGGTTTTCAACAGGTCGGGGTCATTCTTGAATGCAGTTTCCAATTGTTCTGAAATTGATTCTTGCTTCTTTATATCAAGCATTTGAGCATACTGTTGGAAATCATCTATTGGGTTCCCCGCTATAACATCGTTCAATATCATCAAGACATGTCGGATGAGGCGCACGTTAGTGCAGCCGTCGGTTATGCTGTGGTGGAAGCTCATCACAATGTGGCTGACGTGAGGCAGTGTTTTGAGTTTTGTATCCGCGTTTTCCATGGTCGTTTGCTTGATATAGTCATCTTGTTTGGGTGAGAGCGGGAGGAAACGCACGGCCCACGCCGGGCCAACGTCCATGTTGTACCTGTAGGTCGCCATGTTGTGGTACACAGCGTTGACATCTTCATTATTGAGCGTCTGGAAAAAGAGCATCGAGACCAGTATTGTTTTATATGATGATTGAGTGAAACAATTGCGGCGCAAAATATCCATAAAGTGATGATTATTCGTAAGTTTTATTCTACGGAACTTCCATATAATTCTAATTTTAAATAGCTTCAGCAAATTGTATGCTGTTGTTTACCAACCTGAAAATCAAGTTCCTCGTGTTGCAGCTCCCTCATCCAGAGATGACCGCCTCTCATTTTGGGCAACATCCTCAAGTTGATGGTCTTCCTGTACATGAAGCGAATAGTTAGGTTTCGTTTTGACTTAGACATTAGGCAGGGCAAAAAGCCATTTGTTTCGCTCGACATAACTAGTCAGTGCAAACAGTTTTTGACATTAAGCCTTCTACAAAACGCATAAGTTACTCGTTTAAGGAGTTAAGAAATGGTAATTTTAGCTCATTACGTGAGCTCAATGGCCTCCATCTATATTTTTCATGCGACTAGAAGATGCGCTTATATCAGGAAAGAGTGAGGATGAAGAAATACATAATTATAATAAAATTATTCAAATCAATTAAATTATTCAGTTGCACTTATTTTATTTTATTCATCATAAGAAATCAACCGATAAATTTGTTTGTCTACTGTTGTTTCATATTATCTATAAATCTATGTGCGTGAGTACATGCAGATAAACAGGCTTCACTGAAATATATATACAATTTTTCTAAAAGCTTTTCCTTTGATGTAACCTAGCTGAGAGTTCAGTACTTCAGCTCGTCAATAGACATACCTCAAGAAAACGAGTTATATAAGTCTTTCTTGACCTCATTAGTGACTTTCTACCACACACCTGAGGAGATGGATGAAGGCTTGCTTCACATCACAGTCGTTCACTTCTCGAGATGTAACTATTCGAAGCACGTAGCTGATGCCGAAGTTATGATCGTCATATAATTTACTTTGCACCTGCTCCAGGTATCCGGCTGGCCGCAGCCATCCTTCACTTTGAGACATACCAGCTGAAATCTGGTTAAAAAGAAAATAATGCTAAATTAAAGCAAAATATTACAATAATTAGTGTGAGGATTATTTGTATCTTGCTTAAATTTCTGTGCAGTCTTCAGTTGTCGGCAGTTAGAAGCTACTCTCCTTCGATCATTTCCCTAATCGTTGACAGCGGATGCCTTCCCGGTAGTTCGTGACAATTATGGGATTTGGGTCGTAAGCCTAAAGAAAGTAAGTTTCTACATAGGTCACCTAAAATAACCAAAAAAAAAAGGCTCACCACGTCACCCAGTGTGTGCTTGAGGCGGCATTTTTGTGTCTGCTATTGACTAGTTATCTGCTCGTCCTGATAACCACAATCACGTTAAACAATTAATTAATTTTGAATCAATTAAATTATTTAATTAAATTAATTTAATACAATAAATTAATATAATACAATTAACAGCACTCGAATAACAGTTTTGTGTCTGACGAAATTGACGTCATTTATTGATTTTTGTAGAAAAACGGATGTCGAAATAACTATTCAATCAAATTAAATAGTGTCCCTTTGAATTGAAATAATTATATTTTAAGAGTATGAAATTTTGTAGTGCACAAGTAATCATATTTAATACATTCTTTCATTGATATTCATTCTTCCAACACATTAAATCGACAAAAATGCATAGGAATAAATATATCTTAAACTGTTCATTGAAGAATGAGCAGTTCATGACCAATCCCTAGCACCAGCGCACATGTCATCAATGAACTTTGTCTACTACCAGAAAACTCTGCTATTTACAGCGCGACCCCAAATAAATAAACATAATACATTATGATGTGCGGTTAATTTCAACATTCTTCTTATTACATTTACTTATTTACTTAACCGGTTCAAGAACGCAAGTATGATAATTTTATATTCAAAAATCCAGTTAGGCTTGATAGTTGATACACATTTTCTCAAATAAATAACACATTTCATTTAAATGTTTATAAATGAAATGACCTAATTATATTAATGGAATACAACTTGGGTGTGCATAAACTTGGGCAGAGACTACGGAACTACAGGTGCGAGGCAGCTAAGCCTAACGCCTCACACACTCATGTCTGACAAACCCTCCCCCCCCAGTCTCCGACGTTCCGGTGTCTCTCTCACTGTAACATGCGCTTAGGCTTCAAGCTAAATAAGCTATTGGTGTCTTTCGAACTGTTATATTCTAATCTACATTATAGAAATGCATCATATTTATAACCTAAATCATTTCGATGGTATTTAAAAAACATTCTCTTCGCCCTTGCCCAAATTGTACACGTGAGTTGGGGTGTGTGATCATTTGCGGACGAGACACTTCTCGTACTGTCACTTTTACCACTTCCTTCTTAAATTACGCTCAAATGTTATCCACCTTACCTTTACTAAGTTCTGGCCGCACTTGAATATATTATTTCGTAGGTACACCAAACGGCATGTCTCGATACGTCTTAATAAATTTTGTCAAGAGAACCGGGGCTCGACAATAACCTGGGAGTCGGTCACGACCAAACGCTCCACACCATTAGGCATTTGGCGACTAAATGACGAGCCTAATCATGCGTCAGCTGGTGAAAGCCGTGCGGCGAGCAGGCTCTCTTTAGCCCTAATTTATTTGGCTAGGCTCAGATTGTTAGGCCTCATACTCTGGCGGATTTAGCAAGTTTGGAGGCGAGCAAAGAAAGACTCGAGAGTCGCAGTCGAAGTGTATGGGGCCCCAAAATTTTTATACCTACATTTTTCGCTATCAATCACATTCCGCGAAACAACAGTGAATATAATTGTATACTAGAATTTGTGATACGGATTATATTTTATAGTATAATTCCATAATATAAATAAATATTCACCGAACTTCAGATTTATACAATAAACGTAATGAACTAGCTACCTATTCGGTTGAGCATCATAATTGTACATGCAGGCGTTATGCATTAATTGAATCTAGAATAATATCGTTCTGGTTTACAATTATTCCTATTGCAATCGGGAATAATTGTAATATTACCATTTCCATTGTCAACAATGACTTTTTTACGATAATATCATTTTCTCCGTGGCAACTGGCAACATGCAAACGCGACTCCGTAATTAGGTTTATTATTCACGCATCTCAATTTTGTACTGAAGATTAGAAAAGAAATAATTAATGGACTACAAGAAGGTACTCGTGTATTCCAGACGACGATTAGCTATTGGAAGCGTCAATTCTTCATTCCTCTTATGTCCTATGACAAAAAAATGAGTCGTTGACATGACCGTTTAAAGTAAACTAAGCGTAACAAGAGGAGTGTGTAACTTGGCTCATGGAGAGCGGCGAATCGCGACCCCACGCCGGCTCTAACCAGCAGCAACCTGGGAAACAACTCAGCTCCTGCGCCAACCTAACTAATTAGAAGAATAAGAGGCTATTCTCGCCTCTTACTCTAAACTTTGAGTAGAAAATTTTATTGACTCCTAATCGCACCCTCTATGTGATTTCCGCTTCACAAAATTCCTTATTATTCAATGCTTATTATAAGAATGTGAGAAATAGGCTAGAAGACAATCTGTTATCTGTACTGTTATAGCATTTTTAACTAATCAGAAGTTAGAACCACTACAGCTTCCAATTTAATGCTGCATATTACTCGTCCGGAGGAGTCTTTTTTGAACTTTTAGGGATCGTTGAAGATTTTGAAATAACCATTAGAACTAGGGTAATTTTTTACTCTCTTTCTAAAAATTACAGTCGCAACTTTGATAAATGGAATGTGTAAATTTTCGCAGTGATTTTTTTCTATACATTAAAAGATTACTTCTTTATTACTTTTAAAACTTATTTTTTTAGTTTGATAATAATTTCTGTTTTTTTTTCAGGTTCCCATGGCACATTTATCCTGGAGTGACATTAGCGTCAAGAAAGGCTTTTTTTCAAGCCTCAAGTCAAGGCGGAAGTAAAGGAGTTGGCATCTGAACGAACTCAGAATATCTTTGGAGCCGATAAGTTTCTCGTTACATAAAACATTTCATCACCACGAACAACCGATCGTAAGACTTCTATGCGTGAAAAAAATGACATCCATGAAGTGAGAAAAGGACACCATAATAATATACTCTTTTTTTTTTGGAGAGACCGATTATGACAAAACTTATTGAGGAATTACTGCGGCAATATCTGATACATGGTCTTCTCAGGAGTGTCGAATTTTTCTTAACAAAATTTGCACGAGGAAATTTTTTTAGGTGAGAGATAAATCTTGCTTACATAGTAAATTATGTGCGGCTTATAAAAAATCATTTACAATTAGGATTAAAAATAAGATACAAGCATTGAACTCGTGAAAATTATGAACGCGACTAATTTAGCTAACAGGGACGTCGGGTGGAGATGCACTGGAAAAAGTTTATCAGTTTGTGGAATTATCTTATTAAAATTAAGTAAACAACAATCCCTTCATTCGTTCAACCAATTTACGACTGTTCAACAACCTCTTTCAAAATCTCGAACGCGGAATCCACAATTTTGACGGCCAAGGCCTCCTCCATTAGCTGCGTGTTGTACTGCAGAGAGTGCATGA